TGGAAGGACTCGGAGCGGCACGAAAGCGGCGCGGAGCTTCTCCGAGGTTCTCGGAGCGGCTCGGTGGGGCTCGGAGCTCCTCGGAGGGGCTCGGAACGACTCGCAGCGGCTCGGAGCTACTCGGAGGGACTCGGAGCGGCGAGAAAGCGGCTCGGAGCTTCTCCGAGGGGCTCGGAACGACTCGCAGCAGCTCGGAGCTACTCGGAAAGACTCGGAGCAGCTCGGAAGGACTCGGAGCAGCTCGGAGCGGCTTGGAGTTGCTCGGAGGGGCTCGGAGCGACTCGCAGCGGCTCGGAGATTCTCGATCGCGTTACCGGTGTGCAGCAGCACCGACACGAGCATGTCTCGGGAAAGCAATACATCTGAGCAAATCCGGGCTCTGTAACGCGCTATATATACGCGCCGGTTTCTGCCACGCGAGACGCATACGCCAGCCGCGGCACGGTAATACGCATGCGCCAGCTCAGCACCGAACAGCGTATGCGACTTCTTGACACAGCACTGCGCATGCGTCGGTCATTGCGTGCAGCCCGCATGCGCCGACTTCATGCAGGCAGTACCCCTGCGCCTTCCTGGACATCGCACTGCGCATGCGTCAGTTTCCTCACCGCAGAGCGCATGCGCAATTCTCCTCGCTGCAGCGCACATGAGGCGAGACCGGACAGGACTCTTTCGCGCAAAATTCATATCTGCTTTTCCATGCGCGTTGTTGGGCACGGATTGGTTACGAGGGGACACCAGAAGCGCGGAAAAAAATTGAACGCAGTTCCGCACACCGGCCACACAGGAGCAGCGCAGAGAGCGGAAAACACTTCGCTGCAGTTCCGCATATCGGCCACATGGGGGCAGTGCAGAAACAGCGGAAAAGACTTCGCTGCAGTTCCGCATACCGGCCACACGAGGGCAGTGCAGAGACCGGGAAAAAACTTCGTTGCAGTTCCGCATATCGGCCACACGAGGGCAGCCCAGAGAACGGAATAACATCGTTGCAGTTCCGCATATCGGCCACAGGAGGGCAGCACAGACAGCGGAGAAAACTTCGTTGCAGTTCCGGATATCGAGCACACGGGGGCAGCAGAGAGACCGGGAAAAAACTTCGTTGCAGTTCAGCATACCGGCCACACGGGGGCAGTGCAGAGACCGGGAAAAAACTTCGTTGCAGTTCCTCATATCGGCCACACGGGGGCAGTGCAGAGACCGGGAAAAAACTTCGTTGCAGTTCCGCATACCGGCCACACAGGGCAGTG